AGCAATTTGAGGAGGAAAGGGTTTACTTCACGTTACATCTTGCAGTCCATCATGAAGAGAAGTCACAGCCAGAACTCAAGGCAGGAACCTGGAGGTGGAAACTGAAAGCAGAGACAATGGAGGGTTGGCTGTTGCTTATTGGCTTACTGGTTAGGCTTATGTTCAGCTACCTTTATTATACCTCCCAGGACCACCTGCCGAGGGATGATACTGCTCACAGTGTCTGAGCTCCACCCCCACAAGCATCAATCATCAATTAAGAAATTGCCCTGCAAGCTTGCCTCCAAGTCAATCTGATGGGGGCATTTTCTCAATACAATTTCCTCTTCTCAGATGACTCCAGCTTTTGTCAAGTTGATAACAGCTAACCAGCACATTCATCATCTATCACTAGAGAAAAGGACTACTCAACTCATTGAAGAGATGCTTTCTTGATAAGCATGATTGCATATATGTATTGGTTTTGACTCACTATAGCCAGGCAAGTGAGAAAGGAAGTGAAGAAGCTGTAGAAAAACAGGTTAGCTTTTATGACTCCTTGTAGATTCCCATAAATTACTTGTGTGTCTCCTTTTGAGGAGCCCTCCCAATCTGTAAACAGTGGCACTAACAGTTGCTGACTCACAGGCCCACGGGACACAGGGACACAGGCATGAAGGTACAGTGGTAGGGTGGCCCAGTGGATGAGGTAATAAAGTCCAACCTTTGACTGTGTCCTGCTATTACTTGCTGTTTGTGTGCCATTGGGCAAGGCTTTGATCTGTCTTGCAAGTCTTCATTTCTTTGGAAGCAAAATGGGGTTAATAGAATTTATCTCAGAGAATCACTCTGAGGCTAAAAGGTGATTCAATCCAAGGTGATTGCTCAAGTGAAACCTGGAAGAAATGTAGTCCTTACCATCACCATGATATCCATTCCCAATGTGTCTTGCAGATAATAAAGGCTCCCCCATTTTGCAGCAAGCGGAGGTAGAGCTCATAGATCAAACTGTCTGTGTGTCCACCTATGGGATCATCACCTCTCGGATGCTCTGTGCAGGGGTTATGTCTGGCAAGAGCGACGCCTGCAAAGTAAGTCTTCCTCTTTTCCCCCACTTAACATGAAGCGATGCTCTCACATTTCATCTACACAATACTGAGGCTATCTAGGGCAGGCCTTGCCCTTCCTTTATCTGAGTTTCCCAGATACTAATTATGATTCAGTTGCCTAAGACTAGGGAAACGTTGAGAATGATCAGGTTTAAAAAAACAACCATCCACAGGTAGACCATACAGAGTCCTTCGGTATTGTTCCTTGTTCCCTTAGCACCAAAACCACCGGTTCGTTTACTTGTTACTTTGATGCATAGTTGGGGAAAGGGAAGAGGAAGGAGGCAGACACAGAGCACACTCATGTAGGCCTCACAGTTGCCATGGGAGCAGTAGGCATTCTTAGTTCTTTGAGACATTTCTCTGGTCCCTCCATACCAATCTGTGCAGATGCCCCCACAATCTACAAAGGGTAAATAGGTGATTCAGAAAATAAGAAGCAGTTAAGACCCTTCCAACATCTTGCCAATCTTAGCTGCAATGCTGGCACGTTATCTTATTATATGATGACTTCCATCTTTTGAGATCTATTGGTAACAAGTACTGCACAGATGGAATGAATACATTCATTCACATCCTCATTCTATAGAAGAGGGTAAATAGAGCCCCCTCCCCAGTCCCCAAAGTTACACAGTCAGTAGGTATGATGGGAGGAATGGGATCCCTTTCCTTTCTTATACTAATACTAGCATAATTTAGGTGTTTATTGCAGGTGCCCAACTACCTAGCTGTGTTTTATACAAGTATCAAGGTTTGGGCATTTCATTAGACTTATAGAGCCAGTCTGGAAATGATAATGAAGACCCAGTTTCCTTATTTATCAGAAGGTGGGATTCTGTGGGATTACTGAACTGAGACACAGGGGCTTGTCTGCAGCACTTTTTCAGCTTCACCTCTGACCTATAACTTTACCTACCCTTCAAAATATGAACACAAGCCTCAGCTATTATATTTGAAGATTCATGCTGTAGGGATTGTTTAAACCCTAAATTATTGCAACTTTTGCTCTGTGTAGCTGATATGTCCGAGGAAATTCTCAGATGATAGCTGTTGGCAGCCAGTGGCTCATAAGGTTGCTTCAATGGAACTGGCTGACTCTTTATACTTCTTTGTCTTTGGTTCAATGAACCAACAGCTTAAGTGGAATGGTCCACACATGAAATTAATCTTCTAAGATAACCGTAATGTTGTTTTGATGATGAAATGACCCCAGGCAGTGCAGGGCATATAGCTAACACTCATTAGACATCAGTCCTACTATGACTACTACTTTCACTGATGCAATGAGCACTAGTAGTAAATTCTTGAGGGATTTGTGAGAATTGCTTTCTCCTGCATAGTGATTATCAAGAAAAACTGTGTCAGAAGGAGCCGTTTGAACAGAATCCATTGGGTGCATAAATGATGGTCTGGCTGCTCACGAGACAGATATTTTCATGCTTACATTTTCTTTTTGTGTAGGGAGATTCAGGTGGACCTTTGTCTTGTCGAAGAAAGAGTGATGGAAAATGGATTCTGACCGGCATTGTTAGCTGGGGACATGGTTGTGGAAGACCCAATTTTCCTGGTGTTTACACACGGGTGTCAAACTTTGTTCCCTGGATTCATAAGTATGTCCCTTCCCTTTTGTAACTGGACCAGATGGATTTTTAACTATGACTTACATGATAGATCCTTAAAAAAGAATGTAAGTATTGTCAATAAAATTAATCATTTTTTCAACTGAAAGTGTCAGATTGAGCACATCTGATATTCATTGCAAGGCAGACAAATTAATATGCATTCCATAAAAAATTCCCCAAGGATATAATGATATTAATCCAAAGGTATCAAAATGTCACTGACTCATGGATGGAAGAAAACTAATGTCACAAACCAAGTGACAAAATAAAGTGAGAACTGAGAGAGATAGGTGTTTTTCCTCTGTTCCAATGCAAGCAGAGATGCTTACAGGGATTGAGAGAAACATGGCACACAGGTAAGACATCTCCAGGAAGCTATACCTGACTGTTAGCATTATTACAAAACTCAATGCGCAAAACAAAGGTATCTGGAAATAAAACAAAACTCAGTAATTGGCAGAGGAGGTAGCAACTGTGTTGGTTTCCAATCCAATTTGATCTGTCTGCATCCTGATGGACCGTGGGTGCACAGCGTCATGCTGCACACAAAGAAACTGATCCATCCCACACAAAACTCAGGGTTCTTGATCTTCACTAAGCAATAGAAAGAGGTGGACTGAGGCACACCTGTGAGCTCCTAGGTCTTGATAAGGTGGCCAACAGTGAAAGGCCAGAGGCGTTTTGGAAGAGTGTTCTGAAAGTCAAACTTTTCAGGTATGCTATCTCCTGGCCTCTGGTTGTTTTTGTAAGATTTAAATGACCAAGATTTCCATTTGTTTTCAAAGCCTTGTAAAGAATGCTTTGAATAGCTGTGAGTCTCTAGGACCTGCTCCACACATTCCAGTTCTTGATTTACCTTAATATAGAGAGGGTCTCACTCCATATTAGAATCATTTTTTCCTTGTTAGAGGGCAGAGTTAACCATGGCACCAAACAAGTAAAATGGGATAAAAAAGAATTATCAAAGGAGAAATAGCGATATTGTTATTAAACAGGTCTCAGAGCACAGAACTGCAGAGAAAGTAGAATCAAAAGGAGAGAGGACAGGAAGAGTTATTTTCCAAATCAGTAAAAAGTGACTGAAAAATCATGACTGCTCTACGATAATGAACATTTCCAATCCACAGCACTTAGTTCAAGTTTCTAAAAACAAAACCTTTCTTTGGGATTAAGGATGAACATCACAATCACAGCATCTCTCTGGTGACTGGTGATAAAATCTAGGGGTAGGGACATATACCTGAGCTGGACCCCTAGCGCTGCAAAGAAAAGAGACATTTCTAAATATGTTCCCAATATTTCCGGAATTCTCAAGCTGGTCTTAATAACTGTCTATGTGGGAGGAAGGAAATGGGGGAGCATAGTGGTTCTGAAAAGAAGGTCTAGCTAGAGGCAAGATCTTTGCACCAACACCTAATACACACTTGGCTTTGCAAACTTAATTCCGAGCTAAGCCAGTTCTGAGCTATGCAAGGGGTGTGGAGGGCATTATATGCTTCCTGACACACGTGCTTTCTCCTCAGGTGGGGTGTTCATGACCCCTCCTCTCAAAGATAAACAATAATCAGTAAATCAGTAATATGTGTGAATTTTTGTTCCTGTCTTCTGTCCTGAGAAATACAAGCATTTGGGGAACGAACATCGTGCTGATTGCCCTTAGTACTCTCAGCGATACCGATACTGCCCCTATGCCTGAATCAGCGTGGAAGGGGAACTTGGGGCTGTGTATTACTCATCTCCGTGTGCTCAGAATCCTGCATGCTGCGTGTCACATGATTCATAGCTGTTTGTTGATTTGGTAGATGAGCCCTCGCTGGACAGTGAGAACTGGAGTAAGCTTCAGCATCACACCGGTCCAGGTAGAAGGCAAAGTTCTGGGAACCGCACCCTCCCCAATCCCCAACTCTTCCTTGCCACACAGTTCAGTTTGCAATCAGGCCCTGTGAGCCTGTCTGCGGTCGGTCTGCATTCACACGGAAAGACATTGCAGCTAGCACCCTGAACAAACCAGAAAAACAGCCCTCCTCTGCTCAGGAGCCCAAGGCAGCAGGGTCCCACCCGCATCTGCCTTTACAGAGCAAGGTCAGCTAACCAAAGCCAGAGTGCTTCCACTCACTAGCTTCGCCCCTCCCCTCCAAGTCCGCCACCACTGGTCTATCAGGCGCCGCCCAAGGTCTACCTGCCGCGCCTGGTGGGTGGAGTGTGAGCGGAGTAGTCTCCTATGTTGGACTCTGCACCCTTAGGTGCTTGAGTCTTGCCTCGCAGCGGAGCCTCGGTCTTTGACGCTGCCATGGAAGGGTCCAGACCCCCATCGCCCCGGGAAGAGCTGGAACTCTCGATACTGGATGGGGAGCAGGGAGAGCAGATGCCTCTCAACAACCTCCAGGTCCAGCCTTGCTCTGCAGAGGACCCTAGCCCAGCCCAGGTAAGGACTTAGGGTTCTGGCGTGACAGCAGGAAAGGGGCCTGGCACCTCATAAGGGCGCCAAAGCGTCCTTCCAGCGTCGGGAACATGCAAAGGGGGAAGTTAAAGAATGCAAGAACTTTTGGAATTCCGTAGACCAGACCCCTCCATTACTGGGACTCGACCTCACCTAGAGACTCTTCAGGAATCCTGTAGAGGGGCGTGGCTGCTGCTTTCAATGGCGAGCAAAGCCTTAGAGATAGAGGTGGTGTTTGAAAGTTATGTAACTTTTCACTTGTTTTTCTTTCTTTCTCAAGTAAAAAATAGAGTAATACATTGAATCATAATGTGTGTCTCTCTCTCCTTGCTCCCCCCTACTTTCGCTCCCCAGTCTCCTTTCCAGCACCCACCACCACCTCCTCTGGGGGCATATAGTCCACTGTCTCCTACCTCTAAACAGCTCTATGTTCTTGCCTCCCCCTCCCCGTTCAAACACATTTTGTTATCTCCTATTTTGGTCCTTGCTTCCTCCGAGATGAGAAAAAGGCAAAAAACACAGGGAGGAAAGAGCTGCTGCGGCCAGACTGAGGGCTGTGAACTTGCCAGCTCAGTATCAGGGAAGTAATATCAAAGTTCTACCTAAGAACTGGCTCACTGTCATTTCATCTCTGAGGAAGGCCTTAGGGGTGTGTAGGTTGAAGTCTTTTCTGATGTCATAGCTGAGCATTATTCACAGATCAAATCCTTGTAAAAAAACATCAGAGAGTTTAAATGCTGAGGCACCAGCAACTCCAAAGGTTTATTTAAGTTTTACTGGAAACAGTCAATTTTCTGTTGTTTTAGCCTGGTTTTTCTCACCCCATTCCACTCCTATTCCTCTTGTGCCCAAATTCTGACTTTAGTAGAAAATTCAAAGCTTGAAAACATTACTCTTGGTCCACAATGATTCCTGGAAACACTGTATGGCAATGTCTTATTTCATAAGTACCTTGGAGTCTAAGTTGGCACCTTATGTTTGCATGAAATAAGACCACAGATGAATGACGTTTGGAGAATAATGGCTGAAGGCCCGTGCAAGCAGCCATAATCAGGTACTTTCTGCATAAATCTCCAGGGCAGGGTCTGGGCAGGAGAATTAGAAATACTTAACTCAAGTTAGTCAGGTGCACTCTCCAGAAAAAAAAAAAAAGTGTGTGAGCCCAGAGAAGGCTGTGAAGTGATGTTACTATCATATGCTCTGTTTAGGTTCTGGGAACCCTAGACTGCCTGTGCACAACAGTTGAGAACATGCCAAATTCATGCAGGGTATCAGAATTTTACAATTGCTTAGCACCTGCCTTGTTAAGATTATGCTTCAGAGTCCTAGTGACTTTCTTGTTAGTCAGGTATATGCAGATGTGCCAGACTTCCTTGTAATTTGGCTTTGTAGGTTACTAAGTAGGAAAATTTCAATAACTGGTAGAATGGAGTGAGGGTGGATTCTTCAGAACCTGAAGAGTCTTCTAGAAATACTTGAATGCTAGCATTTTACTAAGGAGAGAGAGGACAAAACCTCAAACCCTTCCCTAACATGTTCATCGTCCTCCAACTCTAGAATAGGTTGAAATGTGTTTCAACATGAAAGGTCAATTAGTGAGGTTCAGTTTGGACTGGCTAGCACAAGCACATGGTTTGTGTACGTAAGAGTTTTGTGTCACCATCTTAAGTTGTGTGATAATAGTTCTGACTTTTGTGCTTATTTAAGTCCATACGCTTTCCAGATCCTGTTTTGTACCTATTGCTATTATGTGCAACAGTTTAACACATAAATGCAGTAAATTATTATCACCATGGAAGGAGCTGCCCTCGTTAGCATGAACTGTCAACTTGAGACAGCCTAAAATCACCTGACAAGAGTCTCAGTTGAGTAACTGTATCGGGTTGATCTGTGGGTATGTTTGTAAGGGATTGTCTAGATTATCTATTGATACGGGAGGATCCAGGCTACTGTTGAGGATATCATTCCTAGGTGGGCAGTCCTGGGCCCTAAGGAAACTGGTTCAGCATGAGCCATTGTGAGAGCCAGCTAACAGCATTCCATCATGAATTCTGCCTCAGAATTTCTGCTTGAGGTCCTGCCCTGACTTCCCTCAAGGAAGGCCTGTGGCCTAGAAGTGTAAGCCAAATAAACCCTTCCTTCCTCCCCCAAGTTGTTTTTGTTCAAAGTGTCAGCTCATAGGGACAGAAATGAAAGTGGAAGAGGAGGGTGCTGGTTTTCGGGTTTGACAGATGAGATAGCTGAGTGAGGAAGCTGAAGCTCAGAGATACAACCAAACCGCGTGGCTTCTCTCGGTGGAGCTCCTCCATGGGGCCCCCTAAAGTTCAGACTCAATGTCTTTCAGTGTCTCAGGTCTACATTGTTAGTCAATTTTAAGGAAACATTACATTGATTTTCTTTGTGTAGGTGTGTGTGTGTGTGTGTGTGAGTGTGTGTGTACGCTTGTACGCACACGTGCATGCATGGGCCATGATGAACCTACTGAAATCAGGGAATGAATTGCTGGAGTCAGGATTTTCCTTCTACTGTGTGTATCCCAGGAATCAAACTCAGGGTGTCAAGTTTGGCTGTGAGGCCTCTACCTGTTGAGTCATCTTGCCGGCCCCACCTGATTAATCTTATCATGTATAGGTGAATACATATGACATGATTTATATCCTTTCATTTATAGCTGCCTCAATTACAAATTATGTGTTACAAGTAAATATATATTGTTAGGTAATTTAAGCAACACATAGGGAGCCAGAGTGACAGATCTGGATAAGTTGCAGAAAGATGGGTGAATGGATGATGGGAGGGAATGGTACTGAGATCATAAGGATCTCCCTGTTTGGAAAAGTTGGGCTAGGCGAGCATATGAAGAATTTGTCTCTCTTTCTTAATCTGCATTGGAATGTAGAGAGAAAGGAATGTAAGCCATTGAACACTGCTTTGTCTATTGTTACTACAGGTTAATACCCTTGGGCAAAAAATTGCAAAAGAAATTGTAGGTAATAGGGTAAGACTGAATTTCTTTTATGGCTCATTACAGGGGCCTTGACTCAGTGTCCCAGAGACATCTTACATGATGGCATCATCATTGTATTAGTTAATAAAAATTAAGTAAATTGACTTCTCTGTGGTAACCAATGTCTTTCTGAGCTACCAAATTGCCCTGTTTTTATGCATTATTCTATGTAGTACAAGAATCAACTGGCTTTTCTGTGTTTAGATGAAATGTGTGGATCAAATGTGAGGTTATAGAGGTGCAGGTTTTCCTGTGCATGGACTTCCTTTTTACCCCTAGTTGTTTTTATTATTATTATAATAAGCTCTCCTAATTGAGTCAAGAAGAAGACAAACTTTTTGGGCCAGAGATAGGTAATCCTGCCAACGTATCCATATCCTGTTTTAATGTCACGTATTTAGTCACTTACCTGGGGAGCTGGTGGATCTCTTGTAGTGTTCAGAGAAAAACCCTGAAAATTCCATGGCCACCCAATGCAGTCACAGAATGTAAGGCAGAGCATGCAAGCACATATGGAGAGCGCCTTGTGGAAGAATCTACCTGAGGCCTCTCAACAGATAACTGGTACACACCAATTTAGATCGTCTGACAGCCTTAATAGAAATCATACCCACAGTAGTGGGCCCTGAGCAATCATCTGGGGCTCATGTGTTGAAGGCTTCATTTCCAAATGCTTTAAAGTACAGTGATGGGGGTTTTGAAAGGTAATCTGGTCCTGCGGGCTTTGACTTCACTTACAGACCTCTCTGTTCCGAGAATCATAATTTCCTGGCATGATTGGAAAATGCTGGATGATTTAGGAGGTAGATCCTACTTGTAGAAAGTATCTTCTGGATTTTGTCCTAGAAGGATGTGCTTTGTTCCCAACCCCGTGGACACTTTCTCTCTTGGCTTTCTGATTGTCTGATTGCTGTGAGGTGAATGGCCTCCTATTCCCATTGCTGTGATGTGCTGTGTCTGCCATGGAATTAGCTGACCATGGTCTAAAACCAAAAATAAAACCATAGCTCAAATAAATCTTTGAGTATTTTCAGGTATTTTGTTATAGCAAGAGAAAAACCAACACAAAATGCTTCACAGTAGGCTCTAGTCCTTCACTCTTTAATCTCAATTTCATGACTCTTTACCACATCACATTCCAGTCCTTAGGTTGGACTGTTGGCCAGTTCTGTCATGAATCACCAGATGTTGGTTCCTGGGCTTTTATTACCTTCAAAAATCCTTCATTCCACACACAATGACAAATATTATATGTTCTCATTTGTATGCAGAAGTTTAAAACATTGATCTTATAAAAGCAGAGAGCAGAAGTATCGTTACCAGAGGCAGGGAAGGGAATAGGGAACAGAGAGATGGGGAACAGGTGGTTAATAGGTATAGCGGTACAGACAGAAAAAATGCCTCACAATGTTCTGCAGCACAGTAGAGAAACTATGGTTGACAGTGGATTATATATTTCAAAATAGCAAGTAGAGAGGAATTTGTATGGTCATAACACAAAAGAAATGATAAACATTGGAGGTAATGGACCAGCAATTACCCTGATGTACCATTATACATGAGATATCTCACTGAACTCCATAAATGTATACAATTTTCATGTGAGTTAGATAAATACATTAAAAAAAAAAAACCTCTAGTAATAAAGTCCTGCCTCCTATTTCCACTTCAGGGGGCCTTTGGCTAGCTTCCCCATGAGGTTCCATTCTCCCCTGTTTTAGATTAGATTCAATGTCGTATAGCCTCTTGAGGTTAAGTTCCTGATGACATTAATTCTACATCACTGCTCTCTAGTAGGAATTTGAGACCATTTGCTGAAACCCAATGACTACCACACAGTCTCTCTTTGCTTTTTAGGTGGACAGCAAAAGCCCCTGGAGTCCCTGCAACAAGAGTGTGGTTGGAAAATGTAAACTGTGGATGGTCATTGTCACCATATTCTTGTGTTTCACTATAGTGATCATTATAAGCCTATGCCTTGTAGGAGGTAAGAGGATTGCACTGACACATTGGGAGACCTTGTTGAATGCTTATGACTTACACTGAAATCAAGAATGTATTCATTGCCATTTTACTGTTTATAACAGGAATTGAACAATGGCTTGGGCAGCTGGGCATGATGATTTACACCTGTAATCCCAGTTCTTGGGAAGCTGATGTGGGAAGGTGTTTCTAGTTAAAGACCAGCTTGGGTTGTATTGTGAGCTAGAGACCAACCTGGTGTACATAGTGAGACGTCTCCATGATCCAATAAGACAATTTGTTCCCCCTACCTACTTTGATGTAAAAATTATTTGCCTACCGGAGTATACCAGCTTTGTGTATCTTGAAATCTCTGAATAATACATGAAATAATTCTTAAAATGGTAACAACCTAAAAGAATTTAAAATTCTATAGAAGAAATTGTTAGTGACCTGGTCAAATTATTTTAATATAACATCAAAATCATGAAGATAGGCCAGACTATTAAAAACAATATGGGATCTCCTAAGGTGGTGTGACCTTCATGAGGTCTGGCTCATGTTCTCAGGTCACAGAATGTTATAATGACAGGGAGCTCTGAATCTTTCCAGAGGGATTCTTGGACTTTTTTTTTTCTAGAAAGCCAATTTTCCTATTCCTTTCTTCAAGCTTGATGGTGTTTGTAAGCTGACTTTCAACCTTTGAGTTTCTCAGACAAAGCACCGTGTCTCCTTAGACATTGTTTAGGCAGGACAGGTGATGCCTTGAAGCTGTGGGCTTGTTTTAAGTAGGGAACATCTCTGCACCTCCTCCACCATGCTGAGGACAATGGCATTGTTATAATCATCGACACTGTCTGTACAACAGCTGCCACAGGTGGATGCTGAGTCACACAGCCTCCTCCTGTCTCAAGTGCCTGATGCAACCCCGAAAGTTGACTGATGTGCCTGGTAGCACCCAAGGGAGCCAATCATAAAGCAGATGGTTTAAGATTCAGAATTTGTTTATCTATTCACTGGAACTCACCTGACTTTAACTACAAGAAGCAATCTGCAGAGACAGATTCACTTTCCTTTAAAACTTTTTTTTTTTTGAGATGTGAAAAGCTGTACTCCAAAATTTCAGAATAGCTTTTTAATATTATAATGCAAACTTAATTTTAATTTGATTACAGATTTGCATCTTAAAATATGCTAATTTATACAAGAAACTACAAAAATAATCTTTATTTTCCCCTCCTACAGAAGCACTTATTTGATTTGGCATCTTGCCTGTCGGGCTCTAAGGCTTGCAGTGAGAATCATGGTAGACTAAAGAAATGGCAACAACTTAAAAGACTTTGAATTTGAAAATAATACTTGTTCAGTTAATGCACTGGCTAGTTTTATGTCAACTTGACACAAACTGGAGTCACTGGAGAGGAGGGAGCCACAACTAAGAAAGTGCCTTCCAAAGAGCAGGCTGTAGGCAAGCTTTTAAGGCACTTTCTTAATTAGAAATTGATAGGGGATGGCCCCACCCATTGTGGGTGGTGTTACCCTTGGGCTGGTAGTCCTCACTTCTAGAAGAAAGCAGACTGAGCAAGTCATGAGGAGCAAGCTAGTAAGCAGCATCACTCTATGGTCTCTACTTCTACCTCCAGGTTGCTGTCCTGCCTGAATTTCTGTCCTGGCTTCCTTTGACAATGAATGATAGTGAACAGTCATATGGAGTCATAAGCCCAAAAACCTTCTTTCTTCCTTTTGGTGATGGTTTTTCATCACAGCAATAGTAACCCTAACTAAGACAGTTAACATATATCATTAATTGTTACATTTTATTCTTATCCCTGCTTGACATTTTGAAATAATTTGAGATCAAATTTTAAGACAGTAGTCTTTCTTTAAGGTTTTAAAATAATTTTGATATTACTTTGCTAAATTATTAAAGATTCAGGGAGGAATCGAGTGGGACAGTGCAAACCACAATAGATGAAAAAAAAAAAAAAGCTCAACAGCAGGCTGACCTGTGTGTGAGTGTGCTAGCCACACCCAGAGCTGCTCTGCTAGTAGTTCTGGGACGACAGCTGGGAATCTTTAGCCACTGCCCAATCACCACGCTTATTGATATGAATCACATATTTGCAGAACTGAATGTAATGTATGGGAAATAGGAGAAAGAGTGGCTGGCATTAGGAGAGTCAGACTTAGTGAGACAAAGAGATTCCTCAGGATCTACACGGCCCAGTCTCCTCCTGTCCTTTCTCTAATCCCTGAAACTCCAGTCTCAAGGTTCTATAGTTCCCAGACAGTCTGGACCCAGGTGGAACTGACTATATAGTTAAAATAGATGTAGAACAGGACAGGGATTGTGTCCTGGACAAAAGGGTTAGCTAGCTGGGCAATATGGCATCCATGGTAGGGTTTGCAATGAAGAAGTCTAACTGCCATTGTTAAGACTCTCCTGTATGTGGTGATTTAATGCAAAGTGGCTGATCTTATTGTTGTTCTCTGTCCTCTCAGGACTGGACACTTGTTATTGTCTAGTATTTGTAATGTGCTTATCGCCTCCTCCGCTGCTCTGGTGTGCACTGAAGTGATGACTGATTGAGAGTCATGATTCAGCTTCATGTATGGTGCATAGGCTGTGTACACAACAGGAATAAGAGGTCATCACTCCACCTACCCAATTAACATTGATATTTTCTTTAATTGGCAATTCATGGGCAGAGTCCAGTGAAGCTTGTTGACTTTGGAGAACTGGTTTTGTCCCAGCTCTGTGGAGAACTGTATTAATGGACAATTTAATTTCCTTCCCCTTGAAGAACTGAAAAATTTTTGATATGAAGATTGTATATGCATGTATGGTATATAAGGATATATACAATATGTACACACACACACAGAAAGAGTGAGAAACAGAGAGAGAGGGGGATAGGGAGAGGGAGAGAGAGAAAGAAAGGAGAGAGAAAGAGAGGAGAGAGGGGGACTAGCAGTGGTTTTTGAAACCTCAAAGCCAGCCCTCACTAACACACTCCCTCCAAGAAGGCTATTCCCACTCCAAAAGGCCATGCCCCCTATTCTTTCTAAATAGTTCATTGACTGGGCACTAAGCATTCAAATAAATGAGCCTATGGGGGCCATTCTCATTAAAACCATCATGCCATAGGGGAGAGGGAGAACACTTTCCTCTTCCCCTTAGAGTCACTTTCTTTGTAGATAATTTGGAGAGATCATTAAGCACTTTCATGTGTTTCTTTTCACTGTGGTAGCCTAGTTAGAAAAGAGTAACAACACACAGAGAAAAGCCTCTTAACAAACAGGCTTAAAGTTAGAGCACTCTGAGGCTCCCATATAGCCTTCCTCAGCATTGCAGTTGACCTGCCCACCTCTTAGTTTACAGTGTCTTCTGTAGGAAGAAATGCTGTAACATGGCTGAGCAGAGACTTTCTAAGTGATGCAGCATTGAGTGAACTACTTTGGTTTTCAGTAGAGAGTACATGAACCTGGCACACTACTTTCACAGGGAGATACTTCCTGGTTAGGGTGACTCATGGAGGAAATCCTTGGTAGATATCGTGAGCAGCTGTAACCTACAAAGGTCCTTCAGGGCAGGAACTTAATGGCTATTCCCTCAACCCACTTTCTGAAAGTTCTGTCATATTTTTCCCTGACAGTCTTTCCATTATATCTTTGGTGTTTTTCCACCTTCCCAAGACTCAGGTCTTACTTGCATTCTCTACAAAATACCCTAAGCATCTAAAGGTTCTATCTAAGTGTAGTGCCTGCATCTCTCCTTCAAAACGATCCTCCATGGAATTTGCCATGTCACTGAGATATTGTTTTCTTTCTCTTCTTTTACTGGAGAGTGTAAAGGAGAGTGTAAAGATCTACATTGAGATCTTACTCCCTGAATACTTCTAAACCTCTGTGTCTATTGACCCTAATTTTATTGTACCATGGTGAATAGCAATTATTTGATTGTGAAGTCTAACCTTTATCCTCCTTTGGACCTATTTATAGCTGTCATCTTTGTGAGTTACCTTGCACACTCTTGTCTGAGTCTACAGAACTCCATGACTAATATACAGACATGCATATACACTCATATGAACTAGAGTCTTCTACCACAGAGCTACCTAGGCTTGTCTCCTCCCAGAACTGAAGTTAGCAGTACATAAGATCATATTGGGCTCTTTTGTATTGTTTTGCTTTGTTTATTTCCAGTTTGGTTCCATTATTTAAAGTTCAAAGTAAGCAAAATTAATGTATGATTACTGAAGCCAGAAAAGACACACTCTTTTTGTGTGGGTTAGTCAGTAGAAGTGTCTGTCAGAAGTTAGTGATAGTTTTTTTTCTTTCAATTTTAACTTTAATATTTCTATCAATTTCACATAATACATTTTGATCATTTAATCCTCATTCTTCCCCCTATATCCTCTTTCATCCATTCCCATCTCCCCACTCCTTTCCTGGTGTTTTCATTTTTTGTTTGTTTGTTTGTTTTAATAATCTATGAGGTCTAATTTGTGCTGACCGTATACTCCTAGGAGTGGGACCATCTACTGAAGCATGGTTGACCTTTCAGGACTACACCTTACAAACTGTCTTGCCCTTCCCTAGAAGCCATTAACTGACAGTAGCTCCTGGAAGGTGGAGGCTCAGGAACCCCTCCTTCCTTTATGTTAGGATGTTGATCATCTTGATCTTATGCAGGTCTTGGGCAGACAACCATAACTCCTATGAGTTCATGAGTGCAGCTGTCCTGTCCTGTTGAGAAGACTTCATTCTTGTCGTCCTGACTCAGAGATCTTACAAACTCTTTGATCCTTCTTCCACAGTTGTCTCTGAGCTTTGGTGGTGGGATATGTAGATGCCCAGTCATGGCTGAGTACTCCACTGAGACCTATTCTTTGCATTTTGGTCACTTTTGAATTTCTCTCTTCACTACCATCTATTGCACAGAGAAACTTCTCTGATGATGGTGTTTGAGAACATTAATAATCCATGAATATAAAGATAAGAATTTAGAAGCAGTTTGCTCTTATGTCGATTTAGTAGAATAACAGTAGGATATTTACTCCCGTGGCCTATAAGTCCCTCAGTCATGGACTGTTGGCCAGATTTTACAACACTAGGTATGAGTTTTTTTCCAGGGGAGAAACTCAGTGAGCCTTTAATCAGAGGGCAGTTGGCAACTCCCACGGCATTCTTGCATCTATTGTATCCAGGGGCATATTTTGCTATACTGATTATTACTATAGTTCACGGGGTTAACATCTGGGTAAGACTGTATGTTCATTTGTGTGTGTGTGTGTGTGTGTGTGTGTGTGTGTATATGTGTATGTGTATGAGTATGTGTATGTGTGTGTGCCTGCACATGTGGAGGTCACAGGTTGACACCAATTGCTCTCACCTAGGTTTTTGAGACAGAGAAGCTCTGCATTTTATCTGTATTTCTATCAAAAACACTGACTTCATGCCAAGATGACCTTTCAAAGTCCAGTAACAGGCAGCGTTGGTGATGTATGAGACATAGAATTTGAGGGGAAGCCTGAGAGCACCCAGTTTCTCAACCCACGCTTTTCACAGGGCAGGTGAGGTGACCCCCCCCCCCCCGTGTGGTGTGAGTCTGTGAGGTTGGAGTGGAGCCAGGAGAACTGGAATAGGCATGTCAGTGCCAGTTTCTTGGCCATGACTCCTGGCTTTGTGTGGTTTTCCTTCTTTCCTCTAGCTCTAACTCTTTAAAAATCAATTAGCTCTAGTCATTAGAACACAAGCAACACAGAGCTCATTGTCCTATGAGTCGCTCTGCAGGCCCTGAGGCTCCGAGTGAAGTTTGAATTCCCTTCTGCAAACAGAGTATGTCAACATCCCTCCCCTGTGGAACACAGGCCGGAGTGATGACTTCATACCCATGCCCTGTCCCTAGAAACACTTGGTTACATGAACTCATATCTTCAGTTTCTAGTCCCACCTTCACCCTTGTCTGGGATACCACTTTCCCCTCCTGGTCTTTGACATTGCTAGAAGGTAGCTCAGAGAAGCTGCTGACAATCACTCTCTGTATATGTCCATGCTGGTTTCTAGCACCTATTCCAATATCTGGGTACCTAGCTAACTTTCAGATTCGGTGCAAGAAAAAAGTTCACGTTCTTCTCATTCTTTTCTCATAGTTCTTCACTTCATCTATATCCAGTGGTGTCTGAGACCCCTTTGACCTAAATCCAACAAAACATTTATCTCAGTGAAGACAAGTGACTCTTTTATTCTGTTTGGCTAGGCAAAGAAAATATTTCTGCTTGTACTTACTGACTGTGCCAAGGCTTTAGCTTTCAGGAATGCTGAAAGTTATGTTTAGTTATAGAAGCCAACAGAATGAATACCTTTGCTTTGTATATTTTGAGAACCAGTCTCACTATGAAGTCATGGATGCCTGGGAGCTTGCTATGTAGAACAAGCTGGCTTGGAATCTGAAGTGATTCCCTTGCCTCTGTGCTCTGGGATCATAGATGTGCACTAACACATTTGGCTTTATTAAATTCATTACTCTGTACATGCACTCACCATTATTTTTATCCCCTCAATCTGTTCAGTGACTTATATCGATGAAGATGAAAATGAAATACCTGAATTATCGTCAAACAAAACATTCTTCATTGTGCTCAAGATTCCAGAGGAGTGTGCTAATGAAGAGGAATTGCATCACTTGCTCACTAAAAGGGTGATTATGTCTTACGTATTGTTTACTGAGGTCTTAACATTGGATTATGAGTTTTGTTAGAACAGTTGGCAAAGAGCTCTAGAGTAAGCTGCTTTGTTTGCATGAATGTTAGCAGTTTGTCTGAATGAAGATGCTTATGAGTGGGTCTTCTGTGCTGCAAAGCCAGCAAGTGGGTTCAACCTGGTCTGTCCTCCAGCTGTATGTATCCCAGAAGACAGTGTTCCTTCATGTATGCTGGTCCTATATTTTAACTACCTTGTATTCCTCGAAGATTTAATGATTCCAAGTGCCAGGACCACATAGTTCTTGCTTTTGGGTTCATAATCAAATAGGGGAAGCAACCAAATAGTTACACACAGTGTTGTAAGTCCTATTACTGAGTTACATACAGTATTGTTGAAATTGTTTTTGTGTGTGTATATATATATGTACACGTCACTTGTGTCTGTGCATGTGTACACATGTCAAGGCCAGAGGTTGACATCACATGTTTTCTTCAATTGCTCTCCATATTATTTTTGAAACAGAATTTCTAACTGAGACCTAGAAAACATCCAGTTTGGCTAGTTGACTGACCAGTGTGCTCCAGGGGGTGGAAGTAGATGATAAGTCTGATTTTTAGGCTAGTTATAAAATAAAGACTGTGAATGTTATAGGATATATATACTCTCCTTGTAAAGTGGGACCAGAGAGATGGAACAACAGGAGATATTTATATTTCAGGGGACTTTGTATGGTATACTGAGTCTGAGCATGCTGTGTTGAGGCCTCTCAGGGGTTAAACTGATCAGGAAAGTAGGGAGAAGAACATAGGAGCTTCCTCACTTTTTGGTAGACTGTGTAAAGATTTTCCCTTGTAAACTGACATGGTTAGATTTTCAGTTTCTTCTTTCTGGGTACTACTGCACAGTACTTGAAGAGAATATTTCTGAGGCAGCAGTGCATCTGAAGTAAAGGCCAGTTGGATTGGGGCAGCTGTGCGGACCATAAGGAAGAGTTGTGATTTCAGAGGCATCTTTACTCAAAGGAACTTAGTGATTGGAACATGGCAAAGAAGTGATTGGAACTCCAGCCTTCTGGTTGTAAGGTTAGGTGCATGATTTGTGGGAATGGAAAGGCAGATGAGTCTTCTGCAAGATGGAGGCTCTGCAGACAGACTGATGATTTTGTGAGTCAATCTTGGCTAACTTATCAAAGAGCTCACACCACACCCAGGAATATTCTGAGACAGAGTTTCACTATGTAGCCCATGTTGTCCTCGAAGCCTCCATCCTCCCATTTTAACCTCACTGATGCTGGTTCCAGTCACGAACCATGCAGTGCTTGAATGGCTGTACTTGTCAGTTCTAGAAATGTGGAATACAGGACTCCATAAAAAGAATAAATCTTCTGGTGGTCTGAGCAAATGGATTTGGTTTTATAGAACTAGAAGGGTTTGAAGAAAGGAGTAATTAAAAGAGAATGAGTAGGACTTTCAAGATGCCTTTCTATGTAAAGCGGGGGCAGGGTGATGGAGTGACAGAAAGTAGCTGATTTGTTAAGCATAGATTATTTCTGGTTATTGGTTTTTATAAGAAAAGATAAAAATTTGAGCAAACTTTATTATCAAGCAAATTGAAATGGGCCTATTTGGCTGTCACTTCAATCATGACGTACCAGACATTGGATACACATCCTAGTTTCAGCCTGGTAACATGAAAACTTCAGCTTTTATGATCTTGTTTTGATGTTTAACTTGGAGTAAAAGAGTGTAACAACAACAGTGACATCCTGTACATTTTTAAATAATTGAAACATTTTATTTATATATGTATGCCTGTGTGAATTTATATGAATCATATGTATCCATGTCTGTGGTGGATAGCATGTGTGAAGTCCACTGGAACTGGAGACAGGTGAATTGTGAGTCACCTAGTAAGGGTGCTGGGAACCTAGGTTCTCTATAGGACCAGTACAAGCTCCTAACCACTAAGCAATATCTCAAGATATCCTCCAATCATTTTTATTTAACAACTTTCATCTTTTGGTTGGGCTTCCAGGTGAATGTGTGACCAAAACACAGTGCAGCAGAGCTACCCTCAATTATTGTCACCCAGTGATTCTGCTCTCAACGCATCATTCCTTGCTCCTGATACCCTCATAAGCACATAGCCATTCTAGCCAAGGATAGAACACTTGATGTTCAACAGATTGTTAAGCATTTAGCTTTTGAGGAGGTAAGGGCAATGGATAATGTATGGAATTCCAGCACTTAGGAAGCCGAGACACACAGATTGCAACTTGGGCTACATAGTGAATTTGCAGGCCAGTCTAGCCTACAGAGTGAAAGCCTGCGTTTAAAACCAAACCTTCCCACCCCAAACCAAGCCAAAGTAAGCAACCAGAACACAAACAAAGACATAAAAATGTCAAAACAAAATGCTTTTGAGAGGATGCTGTTCACAACAAAGATCGCTATTACAGCCATCAAGTGGACAGTGTCTAAAGCTTGGAATATGTTCTATAACCAGGGTTCCTGTGAACCCAGTACAAAATCAAGTAGATCAAAGAACTGAGATAGATGAGATAGATAGATCAAGTAGATCAAAGAACTGAGATAGATGTCCCAAATACAACACCAAAAAGACCTTTAGACTGTGCGCAGTCATACCTTCTATCTTCTAATTTCCAATTTTAGCTTTGACATTTTCCTGAGTCTGCTATGTGCAGACAGAGTGCTAGATTCTAGGACGAATGAAGGAACAGGGAAGAATAATAGGTTTGAAATAATAAATGTTAGGGAGATGGCTATGGAAACATGAGGAACTGGGTTTGTGTCCCCAGAACCCATGTAAGGCAGCCAGGCATGGATGCCTAAATCTATAATTCTATTGGTGATGAGAGAGTTGGGGGTGGGGAGACTGGGAGATCCCTAGGGCTCGCTAGCCTCCTAGTCTATTTGATGAGCTCTGGATTCAGGGAGAAAGACTAGCTCAAAAAGTAAGGAGGAGAGCAACAGAGAAAGACAACTTCTGGCCTCTCCCTACATGCACACACAGGTGCACACACATATGTACATGCACACATATATACATGCACAGAAATACAATTAACACACACAAAAGTTTTTACAAAAAACAATTGGCATGATCTACAAGAGGTATATGGTTATTATTCATTACCAATACTTTTAGTGCCCAAACATCCTTTGTGGCATCCCGCACCTACCCTCACCTTCCTTTCATGCTGAACAGTGAAAGTCCTCTTCTAGAACTTGAATTTACTGACTCCTGTTCATCATCCACCTTCTTTGTACCGGAGCTTAAGAACTGAGATGGCTCTCTTTTCTTCCAAAATTCTTGTCACATTGTGTTTTTTCCTTTCCTGATAATTCAGATGTGCTCCTCTGTTGCGTTACCTTCTCTGGGTAAAATGGGAAGGAGCTGGCCTTCATGTCTCTCACACTTAATTGTGAATTTTGCCTTTAGAATTTATGAGCTATACGTGAAGAAACCAGCCAGTTTTTAACCTTTTGAAATACTTGATCTTAATCTGTAGAAAAGGAGTGACAAAATGTCTGTCATATCTTATAAAAGTTCCATTCTTACAATCAGATTTATACAAACACCTAGTGCCATTCTGCTGAGTTAGGTACGAGTGTGTTTGGTCGTGCAGCCTCCGTGAGGTTAGGTAGGAAAGGAGATGTGCACCCTCATAGTGTGCTACTGGGTTTTACATGTTACAATGTTTGCTATTGAATGAAGCCATGGCTCACCAAGCTTTCATGATATACCTGGAAGTGGCTAACTCATCACAAGGTCACTACTGGTACAGTGAAAGGCACAGAACAGTGTCAGGGTTGAAGCTGAAGGTTTGGCAAGAGTGAGTCTGGTCATGCTCTTGGTGTGGTTGTGACTTTATTCTAATCCTAGAGCTGTGCCCACACTGAGAGTGGTGCCATATCCCAGCCTACTCCTGATTTATCCTAGAACTATTATTGTTAGAGAACAAGGTGTTTAGCTTTTCAGTGTAAATGCAGAAGGAATGTAAATTCATTCAGCCATATGTTCCCTAGTACAAAGCAGTTGAGATTTGTTTCTATGAAACTTGATGGGAAGACTAATCAAATCCTGGAAAAGAAAGCTGAGAGATGGTGTAGTTGTTAAGAGCACTTGCTGCTCTTTCAGGGGTCATGGTTTTGGTTCCCAGTATTCACATGTCAACTCTCAATGCCTGTAATTCCAGTTCCAGGGAATCTTATGCTTTCTGTCTCCTTAAGCACCAGGACATGGGCACTACACATACATAGCTAGTAACACTTGGAAAGGCGCTCCAGCTATAATAAGAAGGGCAGTATGTGCAATGTGAGATGTGATCCTACATCTCTGAGATTGAGAAAAAAAATTAAGTCTAGTAGGAATAGGAGAAACGGAACAGGTCTGGTTACAGGGAGGAGCGGAAGATGGAGAATGATCAGCAACAATGAGTTGAGTTGAAGATGCACCTGCCTTTGGACCAGCAATTCCATTTCTTGCTGTCTGTCTTGGGGAGATTCTCAAATGAACAAAAAGGTCCATAGAGGTGGTTGAGAATAACAATTGCATTAGCATAGTTTATGATAAAGACAGCATGGAAGGAAGTCTCCATCAGCAGGGAAATGGATGAGCTGGTATAATGACTTAATGCATTCTGCGTAGGATCTGGACTTAAGGGCCCTGAGATGTATCTTATGCATAAATCTTGAATGTAATTTTCAGTATAAAAGCAAATCCTTTAAAAACATTGATTATTTTGTTTATTTACATACCAAATGTTGTACCCTTCCCAGTCTCCCCTCCCAGAGTTCTTTACTCCATCCCTCCGCCCCTTTGTCTCTGAGAGGGTGCTCCTCCACTCACCCACGCACCCCTTCCCCATAACGCTGCCTCTGGCATCCCCCTTCCCCGGGGCATTAAGTCTCTACAGAATTAAGCTCATCCTTTCCCACTGAGACCAGACAAGGCAGTCTTCTGCTATGTATGTACCTGGGACCAGAGACCAGCCTATGTATGCTCTTTGGTTGGTGGCTTAGTCTGTAGGAGCTCCCAGGGGTCCAGGTTATTTGACACTGTTTCTATGGGGTTACCATCCTTCAATTACTCCAATCCTTCCCCTAGCTCTTCCATAGGGGTCTTGACCTCAGTTAATTGGTTGGTTGTAAATATCTGCATGTATCTCAGTCAGCTGCTGGTTAGGCCTTTCAGAGAACAGCTATACTAGGCTCCTGTCTGCAAGCACAACATAGCATCAGTAATAGTGTCAGGGTTTGGTGCCTGCCCATGGGATGGATTCCAAGTTGGGCAGGTCACTGAATGGCCTTTCCTTCAGTCTCTGCTCAATTTGGGCACAATGGTACATATCTGTGGTACATATCAGGAGCAGGAAGATACTAGAATTTGAGGCCAGCCTGAGCTAAGAATGTGTCTGCTGAAAACAAACAAACAAACAAACAAACAAACAATTCTTAGAAGATTGTATAGAATATAATACATTTTATTTGAATAAAACCATAAATAGCATTTCATTATGATCCTATAAGGAAATAAAAATTTCTAAATATAAGTGAAGAAAGGTTTCGTACCAATGTCAGGATAATGGCTAGTACCAGGGAATGGAGAAAGAATGTCCTCTATTCTTAACTTACGGACCACTTTTGGTGGTATGAAAGACCACATATACAGCCTTTCATGCTTTGACTTTGAGGATAATATTTAGACAAATTTCATGATTAAAGCTTCTTGTTATAAAGTGGGCTTTATGTTAGATGGCTCTGCCCAACTGTAGGTTAATGAAACAAAGTGTTTTGAGCCAAGCCACAATGTTGAATATATTAGATACATTAAATGATTTGCTACCAGTTTAAATTAGCACACAAAGTTACAGGTTTCCTGATGGTATTCTCATATACACACAGTTTTGTCAGTTTCTACAGCCATCTCCTCTCCTGTCTCCTAGCGTCCATCCTTGCTGTACTCTTCTGCCCTCAGAATGCCTCCTTCCACTTTCACATCATCTGTGTTCTGTTAGCCTTCCTACCTGTTTCCTCTTAAAGATTCATTTGTCCAATCTCATAGGCATCTTTGGTTGTATGGACTCTACATATCCTTACTCCATCATTTGTATACTTTTGATCATTTCAATCTATGAGTTGGTTTACTAGAAAATCATTATATCACAGATTGCAGAGCTACCGCATAGCAAAATGTGAAAGGCGTAAAGCCTAGGTCGGAGAACCATGGATGTCATCATGTCTTTAGGATATAATTTTACTATAAAACCTCCATATCTTTGCAACTTCATCATTTTGTCCCTTTGACTGGTGAAGTGCTGGACCCGACATTCAGGATAGATATTCTTCCTAACAAGGACATTCTGTAGAAGAAAGAAGCTCAGGACCAGTGATGTCCTGGTAATGAGTGGCTAGTGGTGATCTGGGCCCTCCCCATTTCATCCCCAGCCTTAGCATTTACTGATGCCTCTATGAGCTCCTGCAGAGGGTCATTGACCATAGCACCACTAAGGTTACCAACTGTCTGCTGAGCTCATATGTCAAGTTGAGGATTCCCAGTGAGCCACTTGGGCCTTATCAATAAGCTCATTTTAATTTTTTTTGATTGAGTCTCACTATGTTGCCTTGGCTGACCTAGAACTCATTATAAAAAACAGTCTTACATTGAACTCCTGGGCAGTTCCACTTCCTCAGCTTTGGGAATACTGGAATTACAAACAGGTGCCTGGCTGCCTTGCTGCCTGGCTGTCAGTGACACTCTACTATTTCGACTTTTTAGATCTCACTTGAAGGTTGACTTGAGTTTTGATTTGTGGTCCTCTTACACTTTCTTCCTCTTAATCCAGAGCCCCAATCAAGTGAATTCCTAGCCAGAGTGAATTCTCCTTTGTCCTGAAGCCATTTGCTTCTGCAGGTGATAAGTAAGATGATTCTCAGTGACATGTGTGTTTTTTCTTGCTGTGTGTTTAGCTCACGGACACGTATAGACAGTCCCCAGCTCTGAGTCGTTTTTTCACATCTGCTGGTATCTTGGATTTCAGGTAAGAGCTTGGATCTGTACATCTTGCTGTCTTTCTCAGAAGGTCACCCACTCACCTACCCAACTCATCTCTATTCAGCCACAATGATTTCCCTGAGCTTTGGAGGGTGAGGAGACTTGATAGTAAAACCCACAGTGTCCTTCTGGAATGGTGCCTGGAAATTTCTTAGCTCAACAAAGCAGAAAGAAGGAAATCATGGACTAATTATGTGATTGAATTATGGTCACCCTCAGAGAGGAAAAGCATGTCCAAGAGAAACATTTCTGTTTAACAATAGACACAGAAATCAATTAAGGGCAGAAATAGACAGAAGCCTCAGAGAGTGATGTGCTACAAAGGGCATGTTCTATGTGCTGCATCAGTGACTCAGGAGTAGACTGGCCTCTTACTACATTAAGAACATTGAAAATACACCTGTCTCTTCTGTCTCCTTTCTTTGGTGCTAGCACCAATGATTAATTACACTCACCCCTACAAAATTAACAACTCTTTGCCTTGATTTTTTTTTCTGTGCATATATTTGCTATATATATTGTCCAAGTATGTATACATACTTTTTTCTTTTCAATTACAAGAAATTTAATAGTCTGAACCAATCAAAAGACACACACACACACACACATACACACACATGCACGAGAGTGCAAATGTGCATGCATGTGCTTGTATAAAAGAGTTGTTTAATAAATTATCCTTTTTATTATCGAGATTACTGGAAATACTTTAAATAAGATTTATGTGAGAAAGCCTTATTGTCATCAGTTGTTCCTAGGGTGTCTCAGGGAAATAGTTATCAAAGTCAATGTTATATGTTTATATTCTCCCACTTAAACCATAATCACAGTAGATCTGAGAGAGGAACATGTAACACCAGTGGTAGCTTGATGAGATAGGACTAGAAAGGCTGTGAAGTCTGGTGGTCTCTTCCTTCTTCAGATGTCTCTGTAGGGACATGCTGCCCAGTGGGGACCCTACTGTCTTTAGTCATAAGTCATTGGCACAAAAATGGGTGTAGGAAAGGGAGAATTGGATAGTTGGACCTCACACGCTCTGCTCCATCCCTTTGACACATCTTTCCATTTGAAGATTGTAGTAGAGCTGTAGTAGAAAATCCTTTCACCTCAGAGTCTCCTGGGTCTTTCCAAGAACCTGCCCTTGCTATGGATACAAAGGATCTGAACTTAGCATTCAATAGATGGGAGATGACACTGGGAAAACCGACAAGAAGACTAAGCAAATTAGGTCTAGAAATTAGGCCAAGGTTTAGTGTTAGAGAATTTTTGTTTTAAAAGTTATTTGTGGGGAGAGAGGTTGCAGAGATGGCTTAGCTATTGAGAATACTTCCTTTTCTTCCAATGTTCAGTTCCCAGCACCCATGTTTGGCAGCTCACAAACCCTTATTTGACTCCAGCCCAGGGGATCTAACAACCCTACACTATAAATACTCTCTCTCTACACAGGAGTCAGAGGGAGAGAGACACAGTTTTCTGGGTTTTTTAAATTTTAATTTTATTTATTTTATATATTTACATTTCAGGTGTCATCCCCTTTCCCTATTTCCCCTCCCTATAAACTTTCTATCCTATGCCCCTTCCTCTTTTTTGCTTTTATATCATTTTAATTGAATGCAAGTATTAAGGTCAGTTCTAGGTTGAAGAATTAGTAATACAATACATGCAAATAGTCAAGGAACAAGCAAGACAATGCACACAAATAATCAAAGAGCAAGCAAGGCCATAAACAAAGTTCTGTGAACCCTTCCGTGATCACTGTTTCTAAGGGCTAATCAGGATGACCAAATATATTTTCTAAACAAAAAACCTCAAGGACTTTAGTATTTTAGATAAAGAATTGCCAGTGTGTGTGTGTGTGCTCGTGTGTGTAAGAGAGAGAGAGAGAGAGAGAGAGACTCATAAAGCCCAAAGTCATGTAACCAAGGTTCACCTTGAATTCTGATCCTCCTGCCTGCCCTGCACACGCTGGGCTTACAGGCTTGAGTCATTGTTTCAGATTTTCTGTATGCTGGGGCTTGAATCCAACATTTCAAGCATGCTAGACAAACAATCCACCAACTGAGCCACACCCCAGCCTCCAGCCCCCAGCCCCTATTTTTTTTTAACATTTATTTAGAATTTTCAAAACCATCACATCTAAACTGATATCCTTGCACATGTGAAAAGATATTCCTACGCTCAGCACATGCATTTGTGTCTACAGAGAGGTCCTGACCTTGGTCCAGAACAGGCCCAACAGTACCTGAAAGTACCTTTTTCCTATATCAGTTTCTAGATCTACTCCCAGGGGTGAACTGCTGTGGGAAAGTCCACAGAAAAATACCTCCTTCAGATGTGTGCCTTTTATAAGTGTACCAGGGGAGACAGGGGTGGTGGAGGCAAGAGAGACAGGGATGATGCACTCAGACTGAGTCAGGCTTGATACTCTCTCTTAGCTTTCAGCTTGATCTTTGGAACACCCATCCCAGGCCTGTCTCATCAGTTAGTCCAGATCCTTAGCAGTGAGCATGCAGGGTTACTTCTCCATCCTCCTGAATGATAGATCACTCTACTAAGGGATAATTAATGACACATGTAAACTAGGCTAGCTGGATTGGAGTTTGAAAATGAGCTTTTAACACTGCCTTTAGTGGCATTGTGGTAACTGGGTCTTGTCAGAGTCTCAATTTACTCTGTAATTTACTTGGTTCATAGGGCTTGGCACAGTTCTTTGCTATATGGGAGAGTTTACAAAGCTATTATTTTAAAATGTACAGCCTATGTGACATCTGGCCTCCAGAGGGAGCTCTTTGCCTATCCTTGGCATTGCAGTGGCCTGCTTAACTCTGGAGAGACTGAAGTGGCTATAAATCATTCCCTAGAAGAATCTCTCTGATGTGACCTCCTGTTAATTTGTTTTTTATTATTGCTGAGCCTAATCTGGGCCATCTTGACAAAAGCAATAGAAAAATTAAATGTTACCTGTGAAAAATTAAATGTCAAGGAAGCCACTTAAGCTACTAATTTAGGGCAGTCCTATAATTATTTTCACTGTAAAAATATTAGAAAAGTATGTACTGAAAGATGAAAGGATTAGAGCCTCCTCAGGGATGAAAATTCCTTAGGTCTCATTACTAAGAGATTTTTTAAAATGGTCATCATGACTTAAGGGGCTCTGGAAGTGTACCTGAAGGAGTAGCCCCCCCCCCCAAAAAAAAACCCCACAACACACACACACACAAGAGGTATGATTCATTGCAGTGCACAGGTCATTTTCTGGGAGATCAAGAGGTAGGGAGTTGACTCAGGATAAGGAGCCTTGGGCCAGATCATAATCATTTTTATAGGTTAACTGGTTAAACTTGGGCGAGGGTAGGATCAAAGTGTGTGTGCGGTTAGTGTGGTGTGTGTGTGTGTGTGTGCGTGTGTGTGAAAACCTATGAGCTAATAAGTAAATAAACATGTTTAAATATCTTAATTAATTAATTAGCCCTGATGTTTACATGTAGTGGCAGAATTGAGAACATAAAGACGGGAATGGAGGAGGAGCCTCTGGGCTTGCCACACAGCAGGAAGGCTAATATCAGATGGGTGCTATGCCAATGCTCAGTCTTTCTTTATGATAGCTGGGTTGTGTCCATTCCTTCCAAAGCCACTCTCAGTGGTCCCCTAAGGTGTGAGCAGTTGGTCGTGTTGTGTGGTGGCCGCAGGAGGAGGGCTCTAGGGCATTGCATTCTCCGGGGCTAGTGCACCCTCTAAAGCTGGTTACAGGAAGATGTGGAACCAAAGAAATATTAATGCTAAGATTGGTGTCTGAGTCTCGATATGATTCTGTTTATTCATTATAATGCCTGTCTGTATGTTCTGATGGTTTGGCTTTCAGTGTTGAAAATGCCACGGTAACCTATCACTTGCAGTTTGGAGTTCCATCTGAAGATGATGGCTTTATGGAGTACATGATGAGTGAAGAGTTGGTGCTCGGCATCATGCGACAGAGTTTCCATGATAAGAACGTATCTACTTGTGAGAGTCTTGGGCTTGACCCAGAATCTCTCTTTCTCTATGGTAAGTAGGGGAAGCAAAGAGGTGGGGCCTGAAGCGACGCACAACTTGGTTTGGCATTGTTGGTGCCTTGTACTGTGTCAAATTATGTAACTATTCACTCATCCACAAACTGATGTCTTGCTCTGGAGTTCACATTCTGTATGCAGATGGAGTAGTGAGAAAATACCATGAGGGAGAAATAAAAAAGACCATTGTCTCAAAGAACCTCACTGCAGAACGGAGGTGTCTGCCAGGATCTGTATGAGCACCTCCACTCAAGCCAGCCGCCTTCCCACCATGTCCCTTATCAGTTTCTCCTGGCACAGTGATGGTGGTTTGAGTTGACAACACTTTACAGTTATTGTCACTATAAATGCCCTCATCATCCAAGAGGGCATCATCATCAACATGTTTATCACGAATCATACCAAAATAAGTGAGCATCCAATAAACATTACTTGCCTTTTAAAGGATACTCAGCATGCATGCATATCTACATATATGTGTATACATATTTGTGCATGCATACAGAGAGTGAAAATTTTCCATTCAGAATTTGATGGCTATTCCAATTTGACCTAAGATTATATACTCAGACTCTATATGATACCATTTGTAAGTACAAATGTCCCAGGTAATTTCGGCTTTTGAAAATTAGTGGCCAGCCTAGTTTTACTTCTGTTGCTGTGATAAAACACAATTTCAGGTTCCATTTTGTTACTGCAGGGAACTCAGGGATGCAGGAACTTCAAGTTTCTAGTCACGTCATAACCACAGTCAAGAGCCAAAAGAAAAGGAACGCATCTGGGCTTTGTGCTCAGCCATTTTCTCTACTCTTTCACAATCCAGGGCTCCAGGCTGGGGAATGTTTCTGCCCACTTTCCGACTGAGTCTTCTCATGTCAACTAAGGCAATCAACAAAGTTCCCCACTGTCATGTCCACAGGCCAACCTGACCTAGGCAGTTCATCATTGAGATTCTTTGCTCAGGTGACTCTAGTTTGGATCAAAACTAAACGCACAGTGACTTTGGTTTGCCTTTGTTTTTTTTCTAGACTGAAGTGATGAGTGTTGGCCTGGGTCAGAAAGCAGTGCTCTGCTGAGTCTCAGACTGAAGACAATTCAGAAGTGTATCTAGCAGTGACCAGAAGGAGAAGACAGTCCTCCCACTGATGCTACACAAATGTGAAGTCTGGATCCATCTCAGAATGGCTGTTTATGAGAGCTGTCCCTGCTGGGTTCAGGAGCTAGAGGTCGGAGGTGGATCTAAGATCCCATAATATAAGATTCCTACTGCCTTTGAAGCATTGACTGCTTCTACTAGCACATGAATGCTTTTCCTGTGTTGCAAAGATAAGTATCTGGCTTGGTTTTAGGCAGATTCTGTTAACCCCAGCTGATGGGGTGAGTCAAAGCTTCATCAGGGTATCCAGGGGAAGGAGGAAGAACCAATCAGTTGTTCACTGAAGCCTTCTCTCCACTCACAATTATCTCTGATGGACCCCTGAGCCAGGGCGAGAGGAAAAGGAAGGCAACTTGAAGACCTAAGGAGTGTAGCTCTTCATCTTCCTCCACCACCTGTCAGCTGAGCTCAGTCAGGCGTACCATTGAGTATTACATATAGATCGATGTGTCTTAAGTGTTCCTCATCCCTGCATTGTTCCTGAGATGACTCTGTATCTTTCTTTTCTTTTCTTTCTTTTCTTCTCTTTTTTTTGAGAATATATGTCTCTGAGTTTTGGGCAGGCTGCCATCTTTTAAGATTGACACCCCCGTGGGTTATTATTATTATTATTATTATAAAAGTCATCAAAGGATCATTAAGACTGCTTAAATTTCTGCTATTGATATCACACACTGGCTTTGTGTTGCCTGATAGGACTCAATTTATTGAGATGTTTGTGTGTCTTCCTGCAGATGATCGCTAAGCAGAGAAGTTCTGTCCTTTTGAAACTGTTGTATTCAAGTCCCTTGGAGGGCCAGAAGGAAGCTAGTGACTGTATCAGTCACCTATGGATATAGATTGCCTGTCATAAGAGAACAGAATATTTGTTTTGTTGTGGAAATTACCTTCCTGGAAATTTTCTGGGAGAGTTAGTTTCATTGTTGTATAATGAGAAATTCCCCAGTCTGATACCTCAGATAGATTAACCATGGATACAGGTCACTATGGCAGGCAGCTGTGTATGAATATGTGTCAATTGTAGGGTTCTGAACAATGTGAACTTGCTTTCTTATTTAACTACTATATACTATAGTAATATAGTATAATGATAATTGCTACATTGTAATTTATAGTTTCACTTTCAGGATAGTTCCTTAAACTCCTGAAACAGGTGGATTTTTCTTCTGCCCATTTTATTTTATTTTATTTTATTTTATTTTATTTTATTTTATTTTATTTTATTTTATTTTATTTTATTTT